GGCGCCGGGGCTTGGCCGTGGCCGTCTGGGCCGGGGCGCTGCTGCTGGCAACACCAGCAGCTCTTGCCAGCGGCACAGGGGCAGCCTCAGAGACGAGCTGCATTGGCCGGAATGTGGACATCCTCTCCCCAGCATACCTGCTGCACCTCACCCTCTGCCTCTGCCTCTTCCTGCTGCTGCCAGCAGTGCTGCTGGTGGCCACACTGGCTGCGCCACGGCTGAGGACGGGCTGGGAGCCAGGCATCAGCGTGAGCTGGCTCTTCTTTGGGCTCTGGGTGCCTTACAGCGTGGGGCTGGCTGTGGATTTCCTCCTGCATGCCCGGCTGCTGCAGCCCACCTGCAGCACCTTTGAGCACTTTGACTATGTGCTGGGGCTGAGCGAGGGGCTGGGGGTGCTGCACTGCTGCCTGGGGCCCACAGCACTGCTTGCTGCCCAGCTCTGCCACCGCAGGGCGGGCACCAGTGGCAGCTGCTGAGTTCCTGGCACTGCAGCCGAGGGCCTCATACCGGCCCGCAGCCCCCCGGCCCCCAGCACCCTCCTCTCTCCCCGCAGTGTCCCCACAAGCCCTGCAGCTTCTGCCCCATGGGCAACGCTCCCCCAGGACCCAGGGGAGGACAACGTGGGCCCATTATGTGCCAGGCTTAGTGCCTCTCCTCTCTCCGTCCCCTTCCTTGGGGTCTCAGCCCCACTGTTTGGGGCCAGACACCCCTATTTACTCAATGGAAATAGCCCTGGAGTGCCTCAAGCATCTCCCCAAGCCCCCGGGCGGTGTCAGCCCCAGGCTCCTGCACACCCATGGGGACCCACCAAGGCTCAGCCCCAACCCCCCCAGCTCCACGGAGACATTTCAGCAGGCAGAAAGGGCAGTGGTGATGTGAAGCGACGGGGGATTTTTCACTCCCTCCTGACAAGCCAAGATAAGCATCACGTCCAAGATCAGCCTGCGGGAATTATATACAATATATACGTCTGTCAAAGCCACTCGTCAAGCTCAGTTAATGGCAGGGGCTGGGAGGTGCGGGGGGAGGCACAGGGGTGACATCCATCACCTCTGGCCAGGCTCCCACGGGCAGAGGGACGGGAAGCGGGAGGGAAGCTCCTTGTGCTTCCAAATTAGCAGGAAAAGTTCATAATGAAGCTTTGCAGTCTATTAGCGGGAAGTGGGGTGATTTATATCCAGCACTGGAGGCATCTGATCCATGGTCCACGAGGGATGGCCGCGTGCAGTCACAAGGCATACAGGATGTGAAACGGCTGTGGACGGAGAGCTGAAGGGGAGGCAATGGAAGGATGCGAGCCTGCAGCTGGGACCTGCCCATCCACAGGGTCCGAGGCCTGGCACAGCAGCACACGAGGAGCTGCCCCAGCTGAACCAAGCCCTGTGGGACCTGGGGGCTCATCCCTGGTAAACTGAGGGACTGACTCAGTGGGGAACAAACCCGCATTGTCCCCAAAAAGGGGGCGGCCACCTGTGGCCGAAAGCATCCTGCTGTTGCCCTGCCACCCGTGTCCCCCCCCAGCAAACCCGTGCAACAGCCCCAGATCCCCAGCCCAGACCCCCCCACCGAGCAGCCAGCCCAGCACCAACATTAGAGAGCCCAGAGAAGATGAAATCTTCCCCCTTCCCAACTAGGCTGCACCTGGGCAGGGGGCACAGCACACTGTGCGCTGGCCCCGTCTACTCGCAGGACACACAGACACCCTCAGAGGATGTCCAGACCACGGACACTCTCGGAGGACACCGAACCCTCAGCCACTGGCTTTGCTGTGGTTTCTTCTGCCACCTGGTGCCCACAGCTGCAGCTTCGGGCTCCATCCCTTTGGCCAGGATGGGGAGAGCAGAGGCTGGAGACATGCCCGAGAGCCGTGGGTCGGGGCGAGGGGGTCGAGGGCAGCTTCCCCTGTGTCTCTCGGACGAGCCCGGACCAAACCGCGTCATGGCAGCCCCGTGCAGGCAGGTGACCTAGGGTCTTGCGGCATGACCGCGTGACGGTGTGAAATCGCTCCTCCCAGGCATTCCAGGCTGCTGGGGATGGGACTGGGGGGACACAGCTCCCCTCCCACCCTCCAGCCCATAAATCCAGTGGTCAGCAGCTCTGCACCAAGGCAGCTCCTCTCCCAGCACCAACCGCAGCACCCAGGACCATGGGCCAGCTGCAGCTCTGGCTTGCCATCCTGGCTGGGCTCTCGGGGATCATGGCCCAGGAAGGTAGGGGCAACGCTGGGGGACAGGAGCCAGCACAAGGCAGGGCAGGTCTAGAGGGGACATGGCAGCAGCTCTCAGAGCCCTCTGCTTTGTGCCAGAGCCTGGTCAGCAGAGCTGGAGGATGCTGGAGCAAGGCTGGGGTCAGCAGAGGGGACATCAGGGATGCAGAGTCACTCAGGGGGGACAGAGGAAGGCTCAGATGCAGTCAGAGGGGACTGCAGGACACTCCAACCTCCCACCGCGTCCCCTCTCTCGTCCCCCAGACCTGTACCGAAAGGTGTTTGTCTTCCGGAAGGACCCCAGCGATGCCTACGTAGTGCTGAGGGCCAAGCTCGAGCAGCCACTGCAGAACTTCACTGTGTGCCTGCGGTCCTACACCGACCTGACCCGGCCCCACAGCCTCTTCTCCTATGCCACCAAGGTGCAGGACAACGAGATCCTCCTCTTCAAGCCCAAGCCCAGCGAGTACCGGTTCTATGTGGGGGGCAAGTTCGTCACCTTCCGCATCCCTGAGGGCCGCGGGGACTGGGAGCACGTCTGTGCTAGCTGGGAGTCAGCCACCGGCATTGCCGAGTTTTGGCTCAACGGGAAGCCCTGGCCCCGCAAGGGGCTGCAGAGGGGCTACACGGTGGGAGCAGAGGCAGCCATCCTGCTGGGACAGGAGCAGGATGCCTTTGGGGGTGGCTTCGATGTCTACAACTCCTTCTCGGGCGAGCTGGCCGACGTTTACTTGTGGGACGCGGGGCTGTCCCCAGAGAAGATGCGAGCTGCCTACCAGTCCCTGCGCCTGCCGCCCGCTGTCCTGGCTTGGAAGAGCCTAAGCTACGAGGTGAAAGGTGATGTGGTGGTGAAATCCCGGCTCCGGGAGGTACTGGGGCCATGAAAAATGGCCAGGTCTGGGGCTGACGTGGCCTCAGCCCCCGCTTTCCCCTCCCCATCACCCCTTCACCTCTACAACCCGCCAAGAAGGTGCCTACTGCATGCGCATTGGGGAGCTCTGGTCGGGACGGGGCTTGGACAGAGCTGGGGGGGCTAGGGGCAACACTCAGCCTGGCAGGGACCCTCCAAGCACCAGCACTCGCCACCGGACCCATCGCCAACATCTAGGGCACCCTCTCCCTTCCCCATACCCCCCCCAGCTGTCCTGTGGCTGGCTCCCGCATGGGCAGGACACAGATCCACTGGCTCCCGCGCTGCCCAACCACATGTGAAACAGCAGGTCATTAGGGACGGGACAGCAGGGGCTCGGCACAAGCCCTTGGGGATGCGGGACCCATCCCTGATGCCCGTCCTCATGCCCACCCACCGTCCCCAGGCTCCCTGCCAGCCCGCTGGGTCTGCAGGCTCCCAGTCTGGCAAACCAGCCCCAGGCCCCTCACCAGATTGCCAAACAGTTCCCCCTCACCACTGGAGGTACAGCAGCCAGGCTCAGCAGTGCCATGGGGCAGCTGTGGCTCTGCGTCCTCACCCTCACAGCACTTTTCGGTCTTGCTGCCCCGCAAGGTAGGGGCGGAGGGACTCCACCGGGACCCCCTCTGGGTCCCATGGTGAGAACAGAAGGTGCAATGGGGAGCAGTGGGGAGCAGTGGGTGCAGCGGGTAAAGGGGGACATGCAGCAGTGGGGGCAGTGGGGAGCAGTGGGGCACCCTGAGCACTGCAGAGGGTGCAGTGGGTACAGTGAGGGGTGCAGTGGGTGCAGCGAGGGTGCAGTGGGTGCAGCAAAGAGTGCAGTGGGTGCAGGGGGAGGCGCAGGGGTCATGCAGTAGTCATGCAGTGGAGGAGGCACCTGGAGCTCTGCAGAGGGGTGCAGTGGGCACAGTGCAGTGCACTGGGGTGCAGGGGGTTGCAGCAGGGGTGGGAGAAGGAGATGCGATGGCAGCATAGCAAGAGCCAAAAGGGGCACCCTGAGCACTGCAGTGGGGGCAGCAGTGGGAGGTGGCAGGAACACAATGCCAGGCACCATGAAGCATGCCACAGGGCTGCAGTGGGGTTAGCAGTGGGGACTCGGGGATGCCACAGGCTGGTGCAGCTGGGCCCCAGAGGTGGGGACAGGGGGACAGAGAGACCCCTCCACCCAGCCTGTCCGTTTCCTCTGGGTGCTGCAGAAAATGTGACCACCCGGATCCAGGCTCACCCGCTGGCACCCACCCTATACCACCAGCTGATGCTCTCCTGCAAGGTCACGGGGGACCTCGGGTAAGGCGCTTCCCACCCTCCCATGGCCTCTGGCACAGCACCAGCGTGGGGCAAACAGGTTTGGCATCCCTGGCCCCATGGGCAGCAGGAGAAGAAAGGGCTGGGGAGGGAGGACCATGGTCCCTCTGTGTCCTCCCACCCCATGGCATGGCCACCCCCGGGGTGTCCACCCGCCTGACTGACAACCGGCCTGGCTCAGCCCCCAGGAGTTCCTGTGGGAGAAGGAAGGAAGCCACAACCCCCTGCAGAAAGGCCCCAACAACATCCTCCTCTTCCCCTCCTTCAACAAGACCCACTTGGGCACCTACATCTGCACGGCCACCAGCTCCCTGGGCACCGCTGTGGCCACCTACAACCTGTGGATAAACGGTAGGGAGGGGACCAAGCGGATGGCTGGGGACAAGGGCTCTTCCCTTCCTCCCACAGCTCGTGCTCACCACCCCCTATCACAGCCCACATGTGGCTGGTCTTGGTGGTGGAAGCCACCTCTGGGTCTGATGCTGGAGGCCACCTCCAGGTTGGTGGTGGCTTCCTTGCTGGCACGCTGCAACCCTGTTTCCCCTTGGGGGACTTGGCCAGGTGCCACTTCACCATGGCAGGAGCAGCCACCTCTTTCTTGCCTCTCCCAGACCTGGTGTACAACATGTTCGTGTTTCCGCAAAAGACCAAAAACTCCCATGTGCTGGTCAGGGCGAAGCCAGAGCAGCCACTGCAGAACTTCACCGTGTGCCTACAGTCCTACACGGACCTGACCCAGCCCCACAACCTCTTCTCTTATGCCACCAAGGCGCAGGACAACGAGATCCTCCTCTTCAAGCCCAAGCCCAGCGAGTACCGGTTCTATGTGGGGGGGCAGGTTTGTGTCCTTCAGCGTTCCCAAGCACATCACAGCAAGCGAGCACGTCTGCACCAGCTGGGAGTCCACCACTGGCATCATGGGCTTTTGGTTCAATGGGAAGCCCTGGCCCCGCAAGGGGCTGCAGAGGGGCTACACGGTGGGGGCGGAGGCGGCCATTGTGCTGGGGCAGGAGCAGGATGCCTTTGGGGGCGGCTTTAATGCCCAGCAGTCCTTCGTGGGGGAAATCTCATCTGTGTACATGTGGGACACGGGGATCTCCACCTCGGGCGTGAGGGTGGCCATGTACAACATGCTCGACAAAGCCCCCATATTCGGCTGGAGAAACTTCCCCTACAAGATCGTGGGCGAGGTGTACCTGAAGCCTTGATGCCCGGTGCGCAGCACGGGGCTGGTGCACTCCTGCGTGGTGGCCAGCAAGCCCTGGGCGAGCCATGACTGCCATGGGGGCTGTGTCCCCCCACCCCTTCCCTGCTGTGTAACCCCCCCCAAAGCCACCTGGCATCACATAAATGAAGAAATGGGTTTGAAAAGCAGCAATGGTCTTTGCCAGGGAAACTGAAGCCCACCAAAGCTCAGCGTGGCTCAGGGAATTAATTCGGGCTCAGAAAACTCGTCAGGGTGAGGAGGAAGGGGGACAACGGGGGAAAGGGCTGCCACCAGCTCTGGGTCCCGCTCCCATCCCAGGGACACTGGGGACACTGGGGCCGGGGACGAGTGGGGGGACAGAGAGGGGGCACTCCATTGCCCAGCGCTGGGGGACGTACACCCCCGGCGGCCCCCAGGCAGGGAGGGGGGCCAGGGCCGGGAGAGGCAGCC